ATTTATTATAAATTATTAAATGCTGTGGGGCGCATTTCGAAAATCACAAGGCAAAAAGGAAAAAGAAAAAAGGAAAAAGAAAAAAGGAAAAAGTACCTCTGTGAGTTTTGTTACATTTGGACATTGCAGGTCCAAGTGGAAACTTATAAAATCAAAAATTCACCTAACTTTTTCACTTTTACTGCTTTTCCGAAGGTTGTCATCACAATTCTAGCAGCATGAGTACGGTGTGGAAGCGTGAAAAGCTACATTTCCGCCCGTAAAATAGATAAAATATCTAAGAACGTATTGTACAGATGCAAACCATAGCTATTGATGCGAGCCATAAGGGCGGTCCAGTGCACAGAAAATCGATAGCAGCAAACAAATGTAAAAATAGGTTATGTTTACAGGGACTAACTCGTCCATATATGCGTATACACATATATATTTAGTATGTGTATTTAGATAATGTATATGCATCCATCTTTATATAAACACACATACGTATGTATTTCAATCCATATACATACATATGTACATATGAAAGGTTATATATTAATGCGCGTCAAAGAATAAATGTTATGGAAACAAAAAACTTATAGGATCCGATGCTATGAACTGTTCGGCCATAGAAATATATTTACATACATACCTTAATGAGGAAAGACCCTAACTCATTTTCTTTCTAAATTCAACTTAGTACAAAAATCGGTAGATTACTCATCAACAACACAAAATAAAATGCATTTATGGTATCAGGCAATGAGTTTTTTTTTTTGAAGTGAAACTTCTTTAGCGGCGGTTGGTTGGGTGGGAGTAAATTGGCAAATTCAGCGGAAATTGCACACGGAAATGGCGTAACGGAAATGACGCAACGGAAATGGTTGGGGCTGAAACAAGTACTTCTTGTGTGTATGCAACGGAAATGATGCAACGGAAATGGTGCAACGGAAATGGTGCAACGGAAATGGTGCAACGGAAATGGTTGGGGCTGAAACAAGTACTTCTTGTATGTATGCATATGGTATGAATTTAACAAAAACTTGCTAATAAAAGGTTAGAGGATAACACTTAGAAATAACAATACAAGAATGAAAGTAAAGGTGAGTACGTACATAGATAAAGGAAAGTATAAAGGCGAAGGTAAAAATAAAAACAAAAACAAAGATGTGTAAAGATAAAGGTAAAAACGAAGACCAAGGTAAATTTAAACATTTTACTTATATACATATGTATATAAGGGCAAAGTTGAAGGGGAATATGTTGATGAAGAAAATGATAAACATAAAAGTAAAAAAAAAGATGAGGATGAGGATACCGATAAAAGTAAAGATGAAGATAGGGGAAGAAAGATTAAAATAAAGGTAATTAAAGAGGAAAGGATATAGAGAGAGACACAGAGACTCAATCTGGGAACTATTTTGGGATTTTAGAGATTTTCGAGACTTATCGATTAAATAATCGATATTTTTATCGATATTTAACGATTTTGTTATCGATATTTATCGATTTTGTTCTCGATATTTATCGACTTTGTTAGCGATGTTAATCGATTTTGTTATCGATATTTATCGATTTTGTAATCGATATTTATCGATTTTGTTATCGATATTTATCGACTTTGTTAGCGATATTTATCGATTTTGTTATCGATATTTATCGATTTTGTTATCGATATTTATCGATTTTCGTATCGATATAAATCGATTTTGTTATCGATATTTATCGATATAAATCGATTTTGTTATCGATATTTATCGATTTGGTTATCGATATTTATCGATATTGTTATCGATCTCTATCGATTTTTTTACCGTTATAAATCGATTTTGTTATCGATATTTATTGATTTTGTTATCGATATTTTTATTGATTTTCTAATCGATTTAGCTACCAATGGTATTATCGATGTTGCTATTGAAGTTTTTATCGAATTTGTCATCGATTTTGTTATAGATATTTTGATGGACGTTATAATCGATTTTGTTATCGATGGAGTATGAAGATAAAAATGAGGGCCTATTCGAGGCACGTAATAAAAGCGGCATTACTGCCGTACTGATGAAAAATGGCAACATTGTTGCAACTGCCCAACTGCTAATACATTGCTAGAAATTCACACAGAACGTGATAATTCGCGCAACACTGCGGTTGTGATTGCAACTCGAACAAGCCCTACAGATAATGGAAAAACAGAATAACATGGATGTTATTAAAACGAACAGTGGTAGAGGTAGGGATCTACATTGATAGAAAAAAAGCGAAAAAATATAACCTTAAGCAAAAGCAGATGTGTGTATGTATAGATAGATAAGTAACGTAAGTTTCACTTCTACAGTGTGGCCCAGGCGCACTTACTTTTTTTATAAAAATTGGGTATGGTAATACACCCCGCATCACTTGAATAGGCACAATAGTTTTCTTCATGCACGAAGAAAATACCTTATATACTTTTTTATGCGTTTTTTTTATCAAAACCATTCGATTGGGCACGGTGACTTTGGGACAAAGAAAGCATAAGAATAAACCAATGAAAGCATACTGTTCATATACATAAGTTTGACTATTGAATACTATTAGTAACAGGTAATACCCAATTTATGGAAAAACTGTTCCTTTTTTGTTTAATTTTGTCCAGAATTACGACGAAGCTGACCTCGCAACCGTCCAACTGCCATTTACGTCTAGCTTTTCTGTTTTGGTTTAATTTAATTTTTTTCATACGATTTAGAATTCTTTTAATTTAATTTCCAAAAGAACGCCTTCAAAATCTACTATCTGGCTATTCGGTTAGTCAAATAGTCGGTTAGCAACTATTTTGTCGGTTGATAGTCGAATAGCAATTATTCGATTAACCGCTCGAATTCGACTAACCATTTACATTTGACTAACCATTTACTTTTGACTAACCGTTCACTTTTGACTAACCGCTCACCATCGAGTAGTCTGAAAATCAACAACTAGCCGAAAAAACAACTAGCCGAAAAATCGAAAATGAACGGCTAGTCGGCTAGTTGTTTGTGAGCGGTTATTTAAATGAAAAAGTCGAAAGGAAATATAAGTGAATTCGACTATTTTCCGACTAGACGATCAACAAGAGCTCTACTTCAAAGTCTTGGATCCCCAAAGATCTCAATCTTCGCGCTCTGTGCAGTGCGCCCACTTACTTTATTTTTCTTTGTTATAATACTATTTTACACAAACGAAATACATTAGAAAAAATAACCAAACACCGAGTTACCGAGTACCAAGCTAATTTTAAAATTCAAAACTCGAACTCGCAAACACATTCTCATTTTGCATCTGAAACAACAACGCTTGCAAACGTCAGAAAAAAATCATCGCCGACGAATTTAGAGAATGATTTTACCCAGGGACCCGGACTTTTGTAACCTTTATAATAAAAGTCGTTAGAAAAAGGTTATTTTTTACTTGTATTTTATTTGAAATAAAATTATTGGTTAGCTCGGACTTTTATTTTTTTAGTCCAGTAATAACAGTTAAACTTGGCCAAATATTTTTTAAGGCCGTAATAAAAGTCCTTTCCTAATAATAACCAAACCGCTTATCACACTTAAACTAATTTGAAATGAAAGAGGACTAAAATAGCTTTCAAACTAAAATATCTAAACGGGGAAAGCCCCCTTATTTAAAAATATTTAAATTAAAAATGGTATTTAACTGCCATAGAGCAAACCTTAGGTCAGCTATATGAATTTCATTTGTATTAAATTATAAAAAAATATATAAATAGATGGTAACCTTCGTAAAGATATTTCTGTTTGATAGCCATTTCAGTCCTCTTTCGTTTGTTATATAATTTATTTAATTTGGACAAGCGCACAGAGATAGAATGCGGTTTGATATGGAGCAAACAATACTGTTTTTTTTTT